GACACCTGGCTGATGACAGAAATAAAGATCAGCCCCCCCCCCGATTAACTTATTGAAAAAAGGGTGCCATGAATGGTTCCATCATGAAAGTGTACGAAAGATCGACGTTACGCTACGATAAAACTTTCTCATTTTAGACTTATGGAAATGAGATAAACGTATACATATACATAATAAAAATTAAATCATGTACCTGATAGCAGAATAGTCTTCCTGACCGGCAGTGTCCAAAATATCAATCTGGCATTCTTCTCCATCCAGGATAACTCTCTTGCGGTACGAATCTGCCTTAGTCGGTTCATACTCTTCGACAAACTAAAAGTAAGGGATAAAGAAAGCGGTGGTGTCGAGGAGACGTCGATCGAGTCGATGGAATGATGACTCATCGTTTCTCTCCCTGGCAACTCAACTCACCTCATCGTACATGAACTGCAAGGTGAGGGCGGACTTGCCTACGCCCCCACTGCCGACCATGATCACCTTGTGCAATGGCAGTTGCTGACTAGCGCTCTTCTTCTGTGCTGCAGCGTTCATCTTCGACTTCAGACCGTTGGTTGTGATCGTCGTCGGATGGCAGTCATTCAAGGAGAAACGACAAATAGGCGGGAAGATCTGCTTTTCGGAACGTTTGCGACTGGCCCCGGTGTACGACGAAGACGATGACCGGTGGCGACGACGAGCGGTGGTCCACGAATGACCACAGTTGCTGATACACCAAGTAAACATCAAGGAAGCGTCGGTGGGCAACGAAGGCCACAACAAGAACAAACGAACGACAAAACTGTCTACGTTCGCGACATACGGCAAAAATTATGCCACTTTCCTCGGAGACACTCAAAACATGACGAGGGAAGGTAATACGGGAAGTTTCGCCGGCGATCGCTGCAATCCAACCACTACTACTAGACTCGCGGCTTAACTCGAATCACATCACCTGGCTATGCGCGGCTTCTGGTGACTGGCGAACAGCGCCAAACCGACCGAACGGAACGGCAGAGCTACTAACTCAGACGCCCCGCTCCCTTAGCGATCAATTCGTAAGCAATATGTCCAAGGCGAGAGATTAATCTTGGAGGCAAATAAACAAAATACCAGCTATAAGATTATGTCTATCGTACGGTGGATGGCAAAATAAGTACAACCTTACGGAAAAGACAGCAAAAGTGTAGCTGAGGGATCAATTAATTGCCAAATTAATGTAAAGGGAACTCGATCGTTTCACTAGCTAACGGGGAGCTGCTGTGCTGAACATTCGCGACTACGATCACTACTGACGATGACAGCGGAACTTGTTCACTTCACAAAAGCAACAACTGGTAACAGATCT